TACAGAGACGCCGCGGCCGTCGGGGACGGTCGATCGCCCCGCCGGCCACGACGGTCCCAGAGGGGGGGGGGCGCGTCCCAGTCCCGTGGGAGGTGGGGGTAGGGGGAGGGAAGCTGATGGTCTAGCCAGACGGAGCTGGGAGCTCACTGGAATGGACCCCCGGGGGACCGGCACAGACGGTCAGTCAAGGTGGTGCGAGGATGTGAGAGGTGGGAGGGAGTAAGGGAGGTAACGGAGAGGTAAAGAAGAGGAAATAGATTGATGGAAAGGAAATGCAGCCATCAGGTAATTGCGTGAACAAAGAAAATAAAAAAACAGGTGCAATAAAAAAGAAAATAGAAAACCCAGCCTAGCAGATCTTGAGAAGGAACAAAGACATGTGAATGGAACGCCCATCTCTGTTTATTAGAGGAATATAACAAGATGAATAGAAAAATCGTCATTATATGGCAAACGTATCTGACAGCAATCCTGTGCACAAACAGTGAAAAGGCCTCGCTATGAACATAAAGTGCGACCCATCCAGCACCACCAAACTAAACATCCAGCAGGGTTCGGGAATTTCCCCAGTCCGGTTATGTCCAGCGTGCAGCGCTGTCGGTCTCCAAACGCCAACGCAGCAGCCGGTCATTCCGCCCCAGACTCGGCGAACCAAACCAGTTTGACCGCAGCATTCCTCCGAGCTCCCGGCGAACGAGGAAAATACTCTCGGCACCGTGAATATTGCATCACACGGCCCGGACACTATTCCTGTAGGAGACACAAAGCGACGCTGGGCCATACCAATGCCGCAGGGCTCAGGAGAACACCGAGTTCTACAACTTGGAGAGAAATGAGTCACGGCAAATCGGAGCCAGCAAAGTCGTCATGCAAAGTAAGGCGTTATGTGAAGAGGATGCATCGCTTGCCATTCACGACGCCTTCGAGTCACGGATCATGAAACCAAGATCATCAACTCACGGCCATTCACGGTAACCACGACAAATCACGACACCTCACGGCATGGCACGTCACATCACGGCGCGGGGCGGTGAACCGTCCAAGGTTTTTCCCACGGTAGCCCCCTGGAGGCGACTCCACGAGCTGTGCAGCGCTCGTAGCCATGGTTATCCACGCCGTGTGGCGCGGGTTAGGCTCACACCCTGCGCCCGTTCTCGTGATAGGTAAAATGGCACAGAGCCTGATATCAGTTATAGCCCACTGCGCAGAATGGCCAATGGCGCAGACATAGAAAGTAAGCCAGGAGGAACAGGCGACCAAGAACCTTCCTTACTCTAAACCCTATACACCTTTGATAAGCTGCATAGCTGCAATATAACGCCAGTTTTCCCTTCGCCACACATTTCCGTAACGCCCGCTTGTTTTTGGCACCATGCCAGCACCGTGCGCGTGCACTCGGCACGTGCAAAAATAGCCCCCGATCTATCCAGCTCAGTCGCAGCCAGCATCTGCGGCAGATTTCCCCGGAGAACGCGCGGCCCCGCGGCCCATGACAGGCTTCTCCTACCTTTTTTCATTATGCCAAGCCACGCCGGCGCGGTGCGGCGAAAAGGACCAGATGTCACAAGGTTGTGACGTCACTGACCGGACGATAACTAGAGGTCGAAGGTCAATCAGACCATGATTGGCGCAGTTTCCGCCATAGCGACTGGTGACCGAGAGAGCCACGTCGCTATCACAGAGACGAGTGGCGATAATCGAATAAAAGCCAGAAAAGGTCGCTGCTTTGGAGTGGTCCGTGAGCTTACTGCAAATTTTCAGAGTAGGTAATAGTTCTTTCCATAGCGTCGCTGGACAAGCTAGACAAACAGTAACTTAGAATAAATACTGCACAAATAATATCGATGCATAAATGTTCAGAATTTTCGGACAAAATCGGCCATATGAGTAAAAGGATGTTGGTCACGAAGCTAAAAAAGCATACTTGGCTCTATCTCTAGCCATGAAATTTCAGACGCAATTCTACCACCTACGCCCTACCCTCCCACTCCGGTGCCCCACTTCGCAGTTCGCACAACAAAGACCTCAGCCGCCGCCGCCGCAGCCGGTGAACCAACAGGAAGTTGATACAGACCGCAGCGTGGCACCCAACACAACGATACCGCGGGCCAACGCTCCAAGTCACCGGCTCACACGTTAGCCGGGGTGGCGGCGGCAGCGGCGGCGGCGGCGGGAAAGCTTGCATGGTGTGGTAAGGAGACATGAAGTTGAGTGAATGCCATCATGGGTCGCGAAAGGCACGGAGTCGATGGATACAGGAAGAATGGAAGAAAGCAAAAGAGAGCTGAATGCTCCATACAAAAGTGAATAAAAACGAAAGCTGACTTCTTAGAGTGTTGCATGTAAAAAGAGATTAAAATGGTAAGAGAACCATACCGCAGCTAAGGACAGAAAGAAGGAGCCGGTGGAAAGAGTAACAGCTGACTAGCGCCGACCGCCGCCGTATCGATTTGAGGGTCCAGCCGCCCCCCCCCCCTCCCCCTCAATGCCGTCGGCCACCAGCCAATACGGCAGTCAACACCAGCAACGGCACACTTCTCTGTCTTCCCTGCCGACTGGTTCGTCTGCGTCTGTAAAGTGCATACAGGCTCCCCTAACCCCGCAAATTTTATCCTCTGACGACTACATCAGTCTCCCAGCCTTCATATCTACCTTTAAGAGCTAAAAGTACCTACGGTCGCACAGCAACGCTCAAGGTCACGTGACGTGACGGGTCACGAAAAGGCATTGTCACGGTCACTGACTTTCACCGGAAACACGCGACATGAAGCTCCCCCCCCCCCCCCCCCCCTGAGCCGGGACCAAAACGGTAGCATGCCTGTCGTAATTTCCATTGTAGCTAATTAAACTCTAAGCTGCCTTACTCGAGCCGAGTACACGTGCGGTTTAATTGCTAGTGAGATGAAGCGGCTTGACTTCAACATGCCGGCGGAAGAGCTCTGAAGTGACGCGGAAATTAATTTGTCACGAACAATTTGCCTTTAATTTTGAAAATTAGTTAGGACGCTGTATTTAGATTGCGCTGCACGAGAACTCGGGGGTTTCGACGACGATCGGAGAGTGCTTAACCCGGCAGTTGCTGGGGTATTCCGCCACCCACCGTTTGCTGGGGGGGGGGGGGGGGCGTTAAACGCCCCCAGCCGATAACTCGAGAACCGATAGGCGCAGCGAAACGCACGAGGCGGCAAACGAAAGAACGCGACGAGACGCTTCAGATGAGTACTTTAAAATTGAATTTTGAGATCACAGGTCAGGTCAAGGTCAGGTCAAACACCTGAAATCGGGCTTTCAGTAGCATGGACTTCAGGACTTCGCAATGGGCGCCTCTTGTCATAAACTCTGTCAAAACGGTGCACAATCCATCATATAAGACCTACAAGAGTGTCAGCTCCATGTAGGGGTCAGTCAAGCATAGGTCAGGGTCAAGGTCAGGTCAACCGGGTAAGCACATATCCCCGAAAATCGAAACTGATATTCGCAGCCTGTGACACATGTTTTATGGGTAATTTGGGGCGTAGAACACGTTGGTGACATTCATTTTATCATATGTGTACGTGTTTGGCTCAAAAAGTTCAATTTAAGAAATGCATGTATCATGGTCGTGAAGAAGTCACGAGAAATTGCCAAGATTCAGTTCCAGATTTTGGAAAATGCGGAACGATAATCAAAAATCGAAGATTGCCATTTGATTGTTCATGGTATTGGCAGTCTAATGGCGTTTACGGCATGTCTGTATGTCTATTCTGTGATTTTATATGATTTTTTGAACATATGCCGTTTTTGGTCGAAAACTCAGAAATCATGACGTCACTAAAACCTCGATATCTCAAAAATTTTCCGACCGATTTTTTTGAAACTTTGTCACAATAACCTTCAATCAATTCCCTACAGGTACCCAAAATTTGGCGCGCCTGCGGCGCGCCGTTTTTATGCTATGGCCCGGCGAAAAAAGTGGGGGCGTTTAACGCCCCCCCCCCCAGCAACTCGCGGGTTAACGCAACACCTCGCGAAAATGCCTACATCGGGTACCTAGCTTTCACAAGACGTTTAAATCGTAACAGCTTATCCACCTACCGACAGCATCATAACCGTACTTCATTCCAATTGCAATTGCATTCCAATTCCAATTGCTTCATTCTCATTCCTTCATTCCCCTTTCCATTCCCACCCCCAATACCTGACGCTCCCCAATATTCTCTCACTGGTTCATCCACCAATAACTTCCAGTCCAGTAGTTACCTCTCATATTCCCTCAGTAAGTCCGTACCTTCAAAACATCACATGACTAGCATCAGCGGCCCGATACACACCCGCCTCTATTTGACGCGTGCCAGGCCGCGTCACTAACAGAATTCCACAGCAGAGGTCTGGTTTTTGTCAATCTGATCAGGGCCACCCGCCTGCCTGACCCAGAGCTGATGAGGCAGAAATGGAACACTGCCTGACTCAACTACAGTGGGTTTACACTCGCTAAATGGGTATTCGGGAAAGCTTAATAGGCTGTCAATTTAATTTGAATGAAGGGTGTAGGCATCAGTAGCGCTATATTTTCACGGCTTTCGAGCAATTATTAGAGCCTACAAATCACAATATCGAATCTGGCTTCATTTCACCCGCAGTTACCGAAGGTTGAAGTTCGCAACTATTCTCTACTGAATGCCAGTCCACGGGGCATTAAATTGAATGAAGACCAAAATGGCAGAAAATGTTATGAGGTCACCAATTTCACGAAGTTACTGAACTCCACTGAGTGAAATGCAACCAAGTTGCATCAGTACAACGCCCAGTGTAAAAAAAAAAACGTCAAGAAACCTAGCCGTTCTTCGAGGGGAATATAAAAAGTCAAATGTTAAAGAACGCTTAATTTGATAAAAATTATAAAATGAGCCTCGATAAAACAAAACTTGAAGGATAATGCCTCATGACACACCCAGTAAGGGCAAAATGTATCCGACGGTGGCTTACCACCTCACCCGTTCCCATCTCCATTCCCTCCTTACCTTCGTAGCAGTCCCGCACTGTGTTGAAGTAGATATAGTAATTATTCTTATTGAAGAACAGCAGGCTGAGCCACGAGTCGAAGGCGTAGATGGGCACGATGAACAGGATCCGCACTATCCACCGCTGCTCTGCGGGGTTGGTGTAGAACCGCAGATGCTGGTAGATCTGGTGGACTGTGATGAGGAGAGCCGCCCACACGAACGCGCCGGCGATGGCCTGGGCTGAGACGGTCTCCAGGAAGATGTAGCCCTCCTCGCCGGGCAGCGGCACGAGAGGTGTGACGGTGCCTGGGCGGAGAGAGAGGAAACTGTGAGACACAGCACTGCAGTTTGTTCGGCACTAGAATTCTGTGCAAAGGAAAAACTTGCCAGACAACAAGACCAGATGACTTCCCCAAACTGACTGACTTTCCCAAATTGGGACATGGCTGCTCCACAGTGCTTTGCGAAACACTTACCATCAGGCAGCTCTGAGGTATTGGTGGCAGCCGCAGTCACTGCCGTAACAGCGGGGGCAGCTGTTGTTGTGGTGTTGTTCATTATCTGCAACATCAACAATTCCATTTGTCAGCAACAATGCTGAAGAATGACATCCTAGATCAAGACACCACAATGGGCATGAGCTGGGCTTGAACATACCATGCTGCATCATCAAAAATTTGATTTACAAAGGTGGGTAGGTAGGCGGCATGGTAATGACTAATGGATAGCCGAAACCTTGCCCGAAACCACATGGAAGTCAAAATTGTGAAAATGCCATCAAGCAGACGTGCAGGCTGGCATGAAATTTGCAATTATTGATGAATACAATAGGTGATATGGCATAAAAAATAGATAACATGAAATAAATTGTAATTGGCATTACAGTTTACACTAACAATGTGAATGATTGGGAGTGGAACTGTCCACAAATGCAATTAAACCGCTAAAACGGGGATCAATGGAACAGCTGGAGCTTAGAACACATGATAAAACAAATTCCTTACCTCCTTCCAAACCTATACATTTTATTCCAAGCCACACAAGATAATTCGCCGACCGCACAGACACAAACGCACTGCACTCCAACACAGCCAACGCAACACAACGCAACACAACTATTTCGCACCAGATGGAGACGTAAACTGCGCGCAACAATAACATTTGTTGTTGGCGCACCATCACTATGTAATTTTGGGATAAGGGTTTTTCGCTTTTTCTTCAAATCAATATGACAAAAGTTGATTCATTAAAATATTTTATGATATTCTTTTCAAGGTGATGTATCAAAACCAGCAATCTAGGTAGGAAAACCGAAAAGGCCAAGAAATTAGCAAATGTCCCATCACTACGTTTGTTTGTGCAGAGCACACGTTATCCGGTACAGTATACCTACAGGCGTTTATTACCCTGCCATCTATTGAGTAAAAAGTAAAACATCTTTGTCGTGCGGCGCAGCATCTCTTCAGGCGTTCACTACTGGTGACATCTAGCGAGCAGTGAGTAAGCCCAAAGGGCGAAAGAATTAAATACCCATCAATCACCAAAACACGAAGCACCGATCCCATTCTTGGTAGCTGCTTGAAGCTTACAAAAGCCAAGATAATGAATATAACGGCTGCAGCGTAACCGCATAGTTACGGAGCGAGCGAAGCGAGCGGAGTCTTACGTAGAATAACGGAAATTTCTGAGTATGAGCGGCCGGCCGGCCGGCCGGCCGGCCGGCCGTGGTCACGCTTTTGCGAGGCTTATATCTCAGCAACCCCTTGACCGATTTACATGCGGTAATTTTTGTGGGGTAGCTTCATTCCTTCTACCAAGTATTGAACTATTCCCGATGCATGTGGGTGACCCCTTATGCACGTGCCACGTGCAAAACGAAGAGATGTCACTTTTGTAATTGTTGCAATATCTCGGTAACTACTTGGCCGATTGCGCTGAAAGTTGGCATGTAGGTAGGCACCCACTAGGCACTGCATATCCATGTGCCAGAGTTGGGGTGCTGCTGCACGTGCGCACGTGCAGGGGTCGTTTCCAGATCTCGAGAACGGCTGGACCGATGGCGCTCAAATTTGGTACATGGTTAGGGACCGGTTAGTAGGCTGCCGTGCAAAAGTCAGTTGGGACCCATTTTGCACGTGCGCACGTGCAGGGTGCCGCTTCCAGATCTCGAGAACGGCTGGGCCGATTGTGCTCAAATTTGGCACATCGCTAGAGACCGGTTTGTAGGGTGCCGTGCACAAGTCAGAAAAATTGAAAAAGTTAGAAAAATTGGTATTTAACAAAATCTACAAACATATAACTGAAAATGAACTTATATCCGATAAGCAAAGCGGATATCGTCCAAATCACAGTACAGATATACATCTTGTATACCTCACCCACCAATTATTTTCAGCACTAAACAAAAAAGAAAATTTCACAGCCGTCTTTCTCGATATTTCAAAATATTTTGATAAAATATGGCACAAAGGTTTACTAAAAAAATGTGAAATACAATACAACATAACAGGAAACGTCTTGGAATGGATAAAGTCGTACTTGAGCAAACGGACGCAAGTAGTAAGAGTAGGAGACAGTTTTTCTCCGCCGGAACAAATTTCGGCAGGCTGCCCACAAGGTTCAGTGCTCGGGCCTCTGCTGGCTATTATGTATCTTAACGACCTGTCAAAAGTCACGCAGAACGAAGCACTTTTTTACGCCGACGACACTTCCTTATATTCATCACATCCACATGACAGCCAGGACCACAGAACGACGATACAAAAAGACTTGGACGACATAGGACGTTACGGAGACGACTGGGCAATCACCTTCAATGCACAGAAAACTATACAATTGACATTTTCCAACGTACATGACAACCAAGACTTCAAGCTACATTTTAAGGGGCAAGACATTCCCACTACGAGTTGCCACAAGCATCTCGGACTCACTCTTTCGACTGATCTTTGTTTTCACCAACATGTTAATAGCATTGTCCGTACAATTAATTCATTACTTGGACCTATCTACCCTATAGCCAAATTTCTCACTAGGCCTATGCTCAGCGACATCTACACAACATATATAAGACCTTACTTTGACTACTGTGACATCATTTACGACGGCAACTTGACAATCAAAGACAAAATCCGCCTCCAGAGACTTCAAAATCGATGTGCAAGACTCGTTACTGGAGCACTATACAGATCACCGACAGACGCACTTTTGAATGACTTAGGGTGGGAAAGACTGGAAACGAGACGACTCATTCACAGACTCATTTTCTTTCATAGACTTTATAATAACAATCCTCCCCTACCTACATATATCACCAACATTTTGACTGACACAAGACAGGGTGCTACAGGACTTCAACTTAGAAACGCTACCCTACTGTCGCTTACCCCGATTAGACTCACATCCTTCCACCGATCCTTTATCCCAGCAACTATCAGGCAGTGGAATCTTCTTCCTGCTGCTATGCGTGCCATTCAATCCCGCTCTGATTTCTCTCGTGAAGTCTGGCAGCGATTTGGGACAGCAGAACCTCCACTGTCACATTCAGTCGGCACAAAGACAGCAAATACACACCACACTAGACTGCGCATCGGACAAACATTACTGAACGCACATCAATTCCGAACGCAACACCCAAACGTCCTTACTCCAGCGTGCACTTGCGGTCACCCAAATGAAACAACCACTCACTACATAATGGACTGTCCTCTGTACCAAACAGCTCGATCGCAACTGTTCGGTGTCATGCAGGCTATCGTTCCAAACTTTGATAATCTCTCAGGAAAAAGTAAGCTTGACATCCTTTTATTTAATAGAAACGTCACAAGCATGGTGGGTGTACATGTGGCTCACCACTTACAAACATACATTCAAAACACCAGGCGATTTACTAACACAACGTAACATTGACATAAGTACGAGTATACACACTCACAGCCACACACCACCTTCCAGCACGGCACTCACATCACTCATCTGAGCCGGCGGTGGCCGCCCTGTGCACGGGACCGAGCGGGCTTTCCCTATTCCAGTTGGATGCTTCGTGGGTAGTTGGCGGGGTCGGCGTGGTTCTGTCCCCTGCTGGCTGTGTTAGTGGATCCATGATTTATTATCTTGTTAAATTATGTTGCAATTGTTTAGCTTTGGAGAGGCGCCTCGACTTAAGCGTTAGCTTTTGCGCCGATCCGCCATGTAAACGTGTTTGCATTTGTCAATGAGACAATAAAATACTTGTGTGTGTGTGTGTGTGTGTCAGCTGGAGGTACCCCCTCGAAATTTCGCACGTGCAAGGCTCACCCTCTCGCTCGCTCCGTTAGTCGCCCCAAAAGGCGCTATACTGGTGGATATGGCTACGTGGTGCTCTAAAGTACAAATTTTGCCATACCATAAGCCCTCGGCCTCACCAGACACCAATGACCAATGTTTGGGTTGAACTAACCACAGCTTTCGTACCGGCTGAAAATGAGAAATTTTTAATGGTTTCTAGCGATTACACCTAACAGGCTCAAATGGCAACAAAGTAACTTTTAAGCGAGGCTGCTTCTTTGCGGTATTAAGTTTTCTATAGGTACGTTGTTCCATTCTGATTTTTAACTTGTCGCTTGCTGACAGTTCCTTCATTTGACCGTCGAATACTTCGACTCAACTCAAAGTAAAACTCAAAATCAACTTCACTGGTGAGCCTGTCAAATCCAACAGAAGTTTATTTTAATTTACCACACAATAGAGAGCAAATAAAGCACAGCGCATACACATAACATAAGGCCCTTAGCGTGCTGGTTGCAATATATCTAAACGTTTTTATTCGCCAGCGAATTCTCATTCCTCTTACGATATAACAAATCTGCAATAATATCGCACATTTTCAAATAGTAAATGCTACACTTGCACAGTAACAAATGAAACAAATATAGGGAAGCAGTGGCTGCAAATGTTACGGTTAGGGCACACAAGGTCAGCACGTAGCCATAACTAAACTATTTCCAACGACAAGTCGCATACAGCAAACATACCGAAAAAAAAAACAGTACAAGAAACTTACGGCAAACTCAAGTTATCTTCGAATTTAGACTGTCCAGTAAAGAGAACCGCTACTGATGACGTTATATCGACTAACTAGCAAGACCAGTAACAAAACTAAAACACCGGAAGAAAGAAAACTGTACATTAGTGGCACACATCATACCAAAGTTTTAGTAAATAGAACGATCTCCCATCTCCAAGCAAAATCAATACGCATTTTACAGCACTGCCTAATTTTAGAGACATGAAAATAACCCTAATATAGCTACACTTTCAATAGACATTTCCTCATAATCGATCAAAAAGCATAGCTTTAGCTATCCATTAGCACAATTTTCCCAATACCTTCACGCTAAATGTGCGTTTGCACTGTTCCAATTTATCGCTGACTTTGCTTACACAGCCGATATCCCTCAGAATCACACAAGTCGACATTTTCAAACACCCAACACAACAGTCGACACTTAGACATCTACCACACATTTCGACATTTCTGACATCCAACGCACGTTTTCCGGCATCCAAAAACACCACAGGTATGCTACCTTCTTACAAGACACCGCTTCTTTTCAGTGTGATCTGCAATAGACTACTACAGGTTATAGCACGCCCTATTTTTCACGCTCAAACACACTTCGTCGTTTAGCATCAACAGTCACCTTATGAAGTCGTGACGTCACACCCCGGACAATGACGTCACTCTTACGTCACTTCATGCCGAACAATCATCACATTTCACCTGCTGGAAGCCCGACCTAATAGAGACTAGCATACCTTAGGGCTTACACGAGATGGCGTTTTTTACGTACGGGATAAGGCTTGAAAGACTGGTCCTTTCTAAGGGATATGGCTGCGCTACAAAGGGGCACCGCCGAAGGTGATATCAAGAAGAGGCTGTGACAAGGCTACAATGATCCATGAGTTGTAACGTGGTACGTACGACTAAGTATTTACAGCATAAATGCCGGAAAACTTTAAGTTTTTCGACAGCGAAGCAAAAAAAAAAAACGTAAAAGCGCGAACAAAACAAGAAAGTTCATTCAACGATGATAGCACACAGAAGATGACAGAACACTGCAAAAAGCAATAATAACTTAAACTGATTTTGGCATAGCGCTTTGGCTAACCCTCACAATTATTATATTTCTTACATCCTAATGATTTATACTACATGCAAATAAACATTCAATAAAACTTAACGATAAACGAAACCGAAAAACCCTACGGTAAGTTCCTTCGTAAAGCGACTTTGCTAGCCAAAACATAAAAGAATACCAACTGCTCATACTCCTGAAATAAATTAATGCCACAAATTTGGCCGCGTTCTGATCGCGTTACCATGGCAACCCAGAACCCAGAATACGGGCGATCACTACCCATAACAGCAATGGCAGTTGCTTTCTCAATACATCCCCTAGAAACACGATAATAAGTCAGCCACGATACCCGGCCTACTCTTTGGTGTTAATATTGCCGGTTAAGACATCCCCCACCTCCCATATCCTACAGTAACACCACTTTTACAAACATTATATACAAACACGATCCTGCATTGCACAAAACATGGCCGAACGCTGTCTTCCTGTGGCAGGTCAAAGAATCCTAATCAGACCCGTTTCAGCCCATGTCCGACGTTTCAGTCTCTGACCGGGGACTATCGGAGCTCATACCAGAGGCCATACTGGGGCTCATGCTAGGGCTCATACCTGGGGTCATACTGGGACGAGCACCATAACCCATACCAGGTCCCATACCAGGACCCATTCCTCGTCCCATACCAGGCCCCATACCTGGCGTCCCTCTCGGGCCCATACCGGGCCCGGGGGACCCCTGCCAGTATGGCCCACTCCCTGGCGCTCCTCGCGCACCTCCCTGATACATCAGCGCCCTCTGCGGCTGAGCTGACGGCATCCCTGGCGGAGGGGGCGGCGGCGGAGGCGGGCTTCCATGACGCATATCCACCCATACGCGCGCTAGGAGGATGTAGAACCCTCCGACGATCTTCAGACAGAACTGCAGCAGGGCGGTGGCCAGAGGGGTGCAGCGTTGGACGAAAACCCCTGCCGTGTCGACGGCCCGCAGTAGCCACAGGTGGACGTCCTTGAAGCAGTTGACCAGCAGCAGAAGCAGCACGGTGATGAAGCGGAAGACCTCCCTCACCATGGCCACGCTGAATATCTGTCGGGAGAGATGGGAGGGGGGTTAGCATTCGGAGAGGGCGGGGCAGGATAGGTGAAAGAACGGGGGGAACAGGACACTAAAGAGTCAACAAAGAGTCAACAGTAAAGGGTCAAGGGGGGAGAGAGCGTACGAACGAACAAACAAAACAAAACAAAAACGATTGAAAAACGAGCAAACGCACAAACGGACGACGAACGAACTAACGAATGAACGAACGAACGAACGAACGAACGAATAAATGCTCGCGAAAGCGTACAAATGCTGAGATTTCTGAGGGGATCATATATGAGAGGGTAACAGCGGCGCACGGAAATAAAAGAGAAACGCTACGGAGTTTAGAACATTACATTACAATAAGACGACGAACATCCTACAAGGTGACACCCAGGGGTGATTATTTGTTCAGCCATCCCTCGAGTCACCACCTAACAAACACAACAGCTATCAGCAAAGCGGTTAGCTGACTAAGCTATGTAAAAACCGGCCACTATCTTGAACCGCAGTTTGCTGAGTCGCCAACTGTGCAAAATCAGGACATTACCGTCCGGTACCACAGCATGTCCAACGCTAGTGGACGAGCGAATTACACCAACAAGTATGCTCGGAAATACAACCAGCGACGATCATCGATAGGTGCCATTTTTGTCAATATTTTCATAAGGGTCATGATATGGTGTAGGCTGAGATTTAAGTGTATTTCTGACAGTGACGAATGCAACATGATCCAAACGATAATTGACATTTGCGTGATACGTCATTGTAGCAAAACTTTCTTCGTCATAAGCTCAACCAATCGCCGCTTCGACAAAATTACAATAATTGTGCAAATCCACGAGTTCGATTGGAGTACCTTGTATCTCCATCCCCCCCACACACACACACCCTCTCTCTCCCCATACTCTACCCACCTGTCGACAGAAGGCAGCCGCCTCTCCCCAGGGGAGAGCCGTCACTCTGGCGGTCATCCACCGCACTAGATCATCGCGAGACCACTCTGAGAGAGGCCGCCCGCCACCGGGTGCCGCCGGGTCCGCGGTGGGTCCGTCGCTGGAGCACACTTCCCTGAGAGGAGGGGTGATTTCGGTGGGTTGTGAGGGGTTCTGTTACACGTGGCTAGATGGGTCAGGCTATCCTGATTCCAGAATCATGGTGTTAAAATTACAGAGGGTCATGGGGTCAGATTACGTTATAATTGGAGAAGGCTGGCTGCAATGCAACAAATGCACATTTCATGAACTTAGAAAAGTTGAGTGGAGTGGTTAATTAGCACATTCCATGAGTTTAGGAAAGTTAAATGAAATGGTTCAATTACAAGCATACAGAGACATGATGACAACTGCACCTGTGCCATACATACGCCAAAGACGTCCACCTGAGGCCCCAATATATCGTACCTGAGGCATCTGATGCGCATCTCCAGTCCGTCTGAGCTGCGGTACTTGACCGACCGCACCAGGAACCAGTAGTGACCGAACGGGGTGCCCTCGGCCAGCTCCACGAACAGGCTGACAGTGTCGGCGTGTTCTGCGGGTGACATCAGGGGTGTCATCAGTGACGTATTACACCACAGGTAGAGCCGACACTTCAAAGGACAAGGGACCATATAGACTTCGTATTGTATTGGCACTTGATTAGTATTGGGAAGATAAACGTCTTTTGAATTGGCTATCAACATTGCAGGGTAAGTAGGTAGGTTGTGTGAATTGAATATAATAACAGAAAAGTCCTTACTTTTTATTCCAATCCACACATCTTCGTCCATTTCTTTCTTGCAGTGTTTAATCACTTCCTTGAATGTTTTGATGGCATTCTTCTCAACATCATCAATGACCAGCACATCTCTGAAAAAATGGAATTCAGAACAAACTAAGTTAAGATTGAGGCATACATCATGAAGAAAAAGATACACATCACATTTTAATGCAGCATGGCTAGGAAGTGTATGAAAAAAGCTATGAGGGATACACAGGGACACCTGGACAAAGCTTCTCATTTCAAATTGTGTGGTACATTACACAAGAATTCCCATGAAATTGGAAAATGATAACAAGGTATGCCCTTTACAAACCATTAACTAAGCCCTGGCAAAAGCAAAAAAAAAAAAGGACTACTGACCTGTAGCTTTTCAAAAAGTCCAGGTGGCGGCGCTCTCTGTATTCAGCTGAAAACACTGTCCATTGAAGCTTCTCCTTGATAAACAGCAAAGGCAGACTTAAATTTGAGGACGATCCCTCAAAGCTGTGCATGTTTTGCCTCTGTCTGCGGAGTGATGCGGGTGAACCCTCGGAGACCATGCTGGCATTTGAATTCTTACGAGCCCTTGGGAAAGGGGGAGCATCTTCCTGAATGGGAGAGCTTCTTCCTGAGCTTCTCCTGTATGCTGTCTTGAGAGGTGCTTGGGCCATTCTTCGCCTTGTGCCTGACAAATCTTCAAAGTGCGTTGCTACTTGCTAGTTAATCACCTTTAACAAAGATCAAAGGAATCAGTTAATGTTGCATTGCATCCTGAGCAATCTTTAATCCTAAATCCTAATAGGTACCTATTCCCTATCCTGGACACTTCTTCAGGCCATTCACCATTGAATTGCAATTTCAATTTGCAACAGCCTGAACAGTGAACAACACACGAGTACATGTAGGTAACACAACTTGGGCAATTTGATATGTGATTGACAGCTGTTCCGTAGTCGTAAAGCAGGCGTCACACTTGTTTATGCAACCAAGGATGCGCTATACCAATACATAACCAAACCAAACCAAACCAAACCAAAACTAGCCTAACCTAACCTGACCTGACCTACAACCTACAACCTAAAAACTACAAACTTTAACCAAAAACCCAGACTAGAAAACATTTATACACTACGCCGAACGCCCGTGACACCATCTTGCGCCGAAATTCGGCGAAAGCGATTTTGCGCTCTTGTTTCTGCATGATTTCAGCCGAAAATTGGGAGTCTTTTTGTGCCCAAATTAAGTCACTTTTATACAAAGCACATGTGTATATCTACCGATCAGGGCTTTATCAAACAGACAGAGCGTTCCAGGGCCTTGGACGCTCTCCCATGTTTAAGCGTCCGAACAAGCTTTTTTTCCACGGACACCTAACACCTCAATAGGTACGCTTAGCGCACTGCAGTGTCGTGCCGTGAAACAAGGCCGGAGCCCGAAGTTCTGGGGCCACAAAAATCGGCGAGGCGGTGTGTTTGAGGCTGGCGACAGCCCGCGAGGGCCAGGCAGCGGAGCGGCACGAGCTCCGGCACATCAGCTTCTTCTCGGCACACGGCGCAGAGCACCGCGGGCACCGCTTGTCTGGGCAGTCCCAGTCGCGGGTCCAAACGATTTTGTTCTCTTTTACAAATTTATACTGCGGCACCTGAAATCTCTTAAATTTCCAGCCTGTGTGAATTGTGATGAAAAACTGATATTACTACGCCTAAAACATGCAGTAACAGCATTGAGAAAATACATTTTATCAATTGTCACATTTAGTAGGCCAAACATATGATTTTCCTGTTGTGTTCTAAAAGCCGACCGGTTCTCCGGACAGATTTTATTCCCCGAGACCAGGACCAAAATTCACAATTCCAGCAATGATGGGCACTGCTCGCACGCCACGGAGTGGAGACAGCCGATTCGGTGCACGCACTGGAATGAGCGGCCCCAGTGCCCGCCCTCATCTGGCGCACCAAAACGGCGTCCTCTAGGTCCTCTCCGGGGTAGGGAGCAGTGGCGTGCTCCCGAGGAATGGCTGGAATAGTGACTCGGACCAGTTGTTGCGTCATTGATGCGAGGTCGCACAATGAACCGCCCTAGTCAAGGAGCGGGCGTTTGAGGGCGGAGCGGCTGCTTGTTTCGATAGGTCATCTGCGCTCTCATTCCTCTCGATACCACAGCGTGCAGGAACCCACTGCAGTATTACTTAATGACGCTTGGCGATGTTCAACAAAGTCTTCCATTCTTATCTCCATGCCGAGGGACGAGGGTTGAGGCCTCACCTGGGCGGCTGCTCCTCCGCCGACGGCCGAGTCGACTCAGGGTGGCTTGCCAGTTCGAGCATGCGACGATCGGGAGCAATACACACGGAAGTGTGACACCTGCTTTACGACTACCACTACCGGTTAGGTCAGGCAGTAGCGGAAGGACACCTTCAATTAAGGGGGGCAATGCCGACTTTTGGTCCCATTCACATTCTTTCCATGCAACGCCCATAGGGCGTATGTTAAAATGCCAAAATCAAAGGGGGCGTGGTGCCCCAGTGCCCTCCCCGTTCCGCCGCCTATGAGGTCAGGTTTGGTCAGGTTTGGTTTGGATCGATTAGAAAACATCTCTGGATATACTAGCATCTCACTCTCTCCTTGGTCACAAAAAAGACGTAAATCTACAATGACAAAAAGGGAAGCAATTAGCGAGATGGAATGGTGGTTGTGGTGGGACCAACGCCCAACGGTGGAAAGTATTTATCGCCTTGGGTGAAAGTAAGCCATGCAATTACCGCCCAGTGAGCCTCACAGCTATACCATGCAAGGTGCTGGAATCTCTGATTCGAGTCATATATTGCTGAAATTCTAACTAAAAACGAACTTACGCGGCACGCCCATCCACCAGCACAGCTTTCTTGACCTATAGAAGTAAAAGAGCAATGCGAACCAGGGTATATTGAATTAGGGTATATTGAATTAGATGCGAACGGCTTTCCGCCCTAACTTGAACTCTTCAACAACAACAGCGATGCGATGCGATGCGATGGTTTTCGGAGGTTTAGCCTTTGTATCGGCACCTCCTTGATTTCTTAATCTTTAACTTTTACTTTGATCGATGGGTTGCATTGTTATGGTTGGTTTGTGTGGCTAGGATTCTCACTAGGGGACAGGATTGGGTGTTGGGAGGATGAAGGTCAACTAGGATGGAGAACTTTGTTTTATTTCCAGCAGTCTTCTTTTCTTCCACAGCTTAAGCAATACTTCTTTCTTTTCTTCGATATCTTCCTCCTCAAACAGAAATATCCCTAAAATATCCTTTGCATAGGGTTTCTGAAGATGCATTGATTCTTTTCTTTCTTCTTCGTAGGCTGGGCAATTCAATATAAAGTGGGCGAGGTCTTCATTTTCTGCATTGCACATCATACATCTTGTGTCCTCTTTCTTGTATCTCTTGCGCTCATTTAGAGGAAGACAGTTAGCTCTTGCCTGGAAAAATATTGTTGATGCTTGCTGGTTGTCAATAAACGTTACTTCCTTCATCTCCTTTTTCCAGACAATGGCTTTATGCGCCATAGATAGCCTTGCGTGCGCCAGTTATGTACACGATTAGAGATGAAGGTGCACTAAATTGCTGCACAAATCGTAAAGCAACGTGTTGCTTTTTACTCGGAACGTAGCATGCATTGCCGTGCTGTAGGCAATGTCTTAGGAAAGATTAGTTATTAAAAGCAATGGTAAATCTGAAATCAAATATATTAAAGGTTAAGTGGCTGTGTATCCAGCTTCAGGCCGAAGGCTAAAAATATTTGATTTACCATTGGATGCTTTTTGATTTACCATTGGTTGCCTAGTGCGACTTTTTCCAAGTTCCCGATGGAAAAAACTGTAGGTTAGGTTAATTCAGGTGGTCATTTATTTTATGGAAATTTTCCAATCTATTTTTTGTTTAAATTTTATAGAGTTCTGGAAGTTTTGTAACGTTACTACTCTGCCCCAGGGCCAGTAGGTATGTTCACATGGCGCGTAAACATTGAAATGTCTTTTGTTGTGTTGGTCCGTGGTCGGTCAAGTAATATCCTATTTACACATATAAGATTAGTACATATTAGCTGTACCTATGTAGGTACCGGATAACTGTGAAGTGTAAATACAATCGTAATAATAATGCTAGGTTTAAATTAGTGGTCAATATCAATTTCGCTTAGGCTGCAATACTGCCGCTTCTGCGACATAACAAACCCAGACCGCAAGTAGCACATAGCGGAGGCCGCGGAGGCAGGGCGGAGGAAATCAATGCTCAATAATTGAGCCATATACCGTTCTCTATATACCGTGAATTGAGCAGTATATCGGCCTAGAGACCTTGAGTATATCTCATAAAAACACGAGAACACTGTACAGTAAAGTTTTTCCTTTTTCACGTTACGGTTTTCATTAGCGTAACCTGAGCGTAACAAGGGGGTTGGGAATGGGTATATCAGTAGGCGGAACTATGGTCAAGCGTACCCATTTTCGGGAACGCATTTTCGTTCCCATGTTTGGGAACGATAAACCCAAATATGGGAACGCCATGTAGGCATTATTTAAAACAAGAAAAAGAACTGTTAAATGACGTCCAAAAAATATAAAACGATCGTGAACCGCCTGATAGTTGTCTCAATATTGTTGGGAAAGAGTTTGATATTGTAAGGCCCATCGTAGTTTCAAATCGTTACCCTATTTCTAAAGCAGTCCATCACCCGGGCCGCGAGCCCAAATTTGGGAACGCTCTCGTACACTGGCGCTGCAAGCGTTCCTTATTATGGGAACGGCGTACCCAAAATTGGGAACGATTTCACCGACGCCTTTCAGGGGCTCTTTTCATTAACAAGCATCACGTCCAACGCCGCAAATTATTGTTAACGCAACAATCATCAGATGACCTTTCCGGCAAGACCGTTGCATGTTTCGCCCGGTCTTCTGCGCTTTTATTCCCGTCGATCTCGCAGCGGGCACGCCCCCCTCTGCAGGATTACGTAATCCACAACGCTCAGCGATGTTCAACAAGGTCTTCCATGCCTATATCCACCGTCCGCGCCGAGGGTGGAGACATGTCAAGCACCTGTCTGCTAATCACCGAGAGTTGACGAGCACAAGAAGTATCCAAAAATGGGAACGCTGAATATGTTACACCCTCAAAACACCTAGTCCCAATGAAAATCTAGTTTTTTCCTTTCTTAATGAGTGTAAGTGGCAAAAGGCCTGGTAGGATGGGCACGAGGTATGATCGAAATCAGCATAAAAATTATAAATAAGCCACACCGAGCGACCTATATCAGAGAAATTCCCCCCAAACGATCATGCTTAGAAACGCCGAAGACAAAAACCACGCTCATGACGCTGCTTATAAAACAACGCTAAACAGCTAGCATCCAAATAAAATATGTCTTTCAGGGCTGATAAAATACAGCTGAATGATTTTAAACCACTGAAACTGAGTTTACAACAGTAGTTCGGTAAAATCACTGACGTTCCACGCGGTCGATCGCCCCGACACCAAAAGTCAACAATATTACCTCGGGACTGTCCGCGTGTTCGCTTGCATATGTCAGCATCTGGTGTCGCTAGAATGAAACTTCATAACCAGGCGAAAATTATTATACTTGACCTCAAAATGTAAAAAATGCTTCATTTTCCTTAAAATTGCATGTTAAATGTCGTATAACCCATATTTCCACCATTCTGTCATTTTTAAAAAATCATTAAAAATATCATTCCACGGTCAATTTCCTTGTTCCACGGTCAGATTAAAGATAACTTTATGGAGATTTAGTAGATACTTAAATCAGCGTGCACTTTTTTGAGACGTGATGCACTTTTGAGTTTTAGTGGGCGAACGGCCGAAAAATTGCCTTCCGTTCTCATAAATGGGAACGCCCGTTCCCATATTTGGGAACTCCGTTCCCAAAAATGGGAACGTTCCTATATTTGGGTACTCATGACCATAGTTCCGCCTACTGATATATAGTGTAACGGGGGACCTGGGGTGGTCAAGAATTGGCCAAAAATCATAACGTAATTTAGGGACAGCCCCACTGATGCCGTCCCTGCCCAAAATTGCAGTAAACCCCAGAGTTTTCATTGACACATTTGGCACTTCAACAACCCCAACTACCACAGAGCTTTTCCCTGGCACATGCACCACGACAATCGACATCGGCGGTGCCTCTTCAATTCATATTTCAGTGTACAGCGAAGAGTGCACTGTTTTTGGGGCCTTGGTGTGCACCATAACCCTAATATACAGCTTTGACCATAACCACACTATCACTATTGGTGCAGGCGAGGCCCAAAAATGAAAAAACAGGTGCAGATGCTTATCGCCCTGGGTGCACCACGTGTCAACCAACAGTTGGCAAATTGGTCTGTCACTTAAGGTGTCTGCTGCTGAATAAGGGGAAACTTTTGCAGGAATTGACAATTATTGACTGGCTGTCATTTGTTGCCAATTGCCATGCAGGTTATTGCAATTTAAATGATAAATCTTGGATAAATCGATATCTGAAGCCTCTATGGCCTCAGATTTTACAAAAATGGCAGAAGTTTGCATACTGATCCTTGCTAGAGGTGGAAGCAAAGGTATTCCAAGGAAGAACATGGTGCATTTTGTGAGCAAATCTCTAATTGCTCACTGTATCTCTACTGCTCGAATGGTGACAAGTAGGTAAAGCATTCCAGTATGTATTTTTTATTTTGTATATTTTTGTTACATTATTTACCATAAGGATTGTGCCATAACGATGGTTGCTTCTTTTGTTGATATATACCTCTTAGATTTGAAACCACTGGTTATCTGGTAGGTAGTTCAAAGTTCAAACTATCTGGGCATCAGGGTTAGTTGCAAAATGTTGTTTTCTTGCTGTGAATAGGGTTGAATGTTTCTTATAGATAAATATCACCGTTCAGGACATGTAGTTCCAACAGGTCTGCACTAGTGCACAAAAAAACTTGCTGCTTGTACTGATAGTGTAATTGATAATATCGGTCCACACTCGTCAGTCCTCGACTCTTCTCCGGTCTCCCTCTCCCTCGACCACCGAATCAATCACTGTCAGCCGAACTCTCCTTAAAATCTCCGATCTCCGTCTAATCTCTCCACACAGAAGCCGACTCTGTCTGGGTATCCACTGATGACTCCGAGATCGCAGCAGAGTCAGAGGCAGCCGGTGCCCGCGTCCACCACCGCAGTGCGGCCACCTCCACCGACACTGCCTCGTCACTGTCTGCTGTACTGGAGTTCCTGGGAGACAGGCCTGGTCAGTCGCTGCTGGGGTAGAGGCAGTAACAGCGGCTGGGTTTTGAATGGCAAGGGCTTCATCCCCAATTTAGGTAAAAAGGATATATCTTGCTGACTACCTATTTCAAGCTTGGTAGGGCCAAGGGTAGGACATGGGTCAGTTTAGATTGGTGAGGACAATATGAACTCGATTTGTAAGACTGGCATGATTTTTATATAAAAAAGTGAGTTAGGATTTCCCTTCCCTATATATCCTTGATTTGATTTCTGGGTGTTTTTTGCTGGCTGAACATTGCATGCCACTGGGTTTCACAACCCTTCTATCTTATGTCTACAGCTCTTCACCAGTCTGTTAACTCATTCCACCTCCTCCCACAGAGGTGGGCACCCTGGCGCTTCTCCAATGCACCAGTCCTCTGACCCGACCTGAGGACGTCTCCCGGGCCCTGCAGATGCTCGACGGAAGCTACGACTCCGTGTTCTCACTGGTTCGACACCGACCCGGTCTGATCTGGAGGGAGACGGAGGATGGTGGGTGGAGAGAGAGAGAGAGAGAGAGAGAGAGAGAGAGAGAGAGAGAGAGAGAGAGAGAGAGAGAGAGAGAGAGAGAGAGAGAGAGAGAGAGAGGGAGAGAGAGAGAGAGGGGGGGTGGATTAATGGGCGGGGAGAGGTCATGGGCTTTGGTCGTTTCTCCTTACGGTTTTTGTGCCGTCTCATCGGTTACTCTGTGACGGTTTGCTAAGTTCGTTGGAAACATCGATTCGAGCGCGATTTTGAACGTCTGATTCGTGATTATGCGTTATAATAGGATCGTTGGCATTGTAAAAAATGGCCTTCTAGCTCTAGCTAACAAACATTTGCTCAGTGTGTGAGGGGCTATCGAATATTTACCAGTAAAATTGTATTTAACGTTCCCCGAAATCCAGATAAGTACCCCTTTGCGCTTGAAGCTGTTGTGTAGCTCTGTCTTGTCCCCGATTATGGTATAACGCTTCTATTCCTAATGACATCTCACCGTTTTATCCCCCAGGCGGCCTGGAGCCGGTGAATTTCGACCCCCTCAATCGGCCCCGCCGCCAGGAACTGCCCTCACACTTACAGGAGAGCGGCAACTTCTATGTGACCCGTGCTGCCCTCGTGCGGAGCGAGCGACAACTACAGGCTGGCAGGTAATTGCAGATGTCGCTGCTGTAGCCGCATGTCTGGGGCTTAGTGATCTTATGCGGATTTGTCTTGGACCATGGATTACTTTATAATTTATATGTAATCTATGGTGTAATCCATGCTTGGACTTTATTTTATTCGATCGAAGACATGTAGCTGATACTTCGCGTAATTATTTAATCTGCTTTCATCAGTATATCAGGAGATTCCTGGATAGGGTTTCACCTCGTTATTTAGTTGTTTTTTTTTTTTAGCCGTTTAACGGATGCTTGTGCCTGCGGCATGTAACTGAGGAAATCCTTCGATTATTTGAAAAAACATTGATATCGATAATCTATTCCTCGTCTAAATAACATAAGTCTCACAACTGATGCAGCTCTCCCTGGTCCCGTCGCGATCGCTGCCAGACGATATGTCCACTTTCCCAACCCATCCCCGGCCAACTCCGGTCATATTCGGAAACTGAACACCGAGGGTGTCCGATGGTGTAATCTGACACAGACCCACCCCCCGGTCTGTGTGACCTTTGTACTGTGGTGGCGTGGTGTAGGGTGGCTTTTGGCTCTGTCGGATTAGGCCCCGTGGGTCTGATACGACCATTGCAGCTTACAAGACTATGAAAAGACATGATGAGGATTGGGAATGGATTGAACGATATGATGTATGTCAAAGCTCAAGTGCTGTGTGACGTATCTGGTTTGGCTATGTTTGGTTGGTGCTGTAGTAACTAGCAAATTAAAGTGACCATCCCACCTTAACATTAGTTTTGAGTTGAGATAGCCAAATTGGTGGCCATGGCCTGCAAATACCGGTTTGAGCACTAACAACATCGAAAAATGCTTTAATTCGGAGATATGGAATTTCAAACTTGCAGTTTTCGGATTCTAAGGGGCTAATGCATTGGAATGCCCCCTTAGAGTTTGCGACGTCAGCGCAGATCTAACGATTTTAAATCTTTTACTAAAACGTTTGGTAGCACGCTGTAGTATATGCGGCTTTGCGCGCAACAAGTGCCGCACTTTCAAATAAAGTCGCTAGGAACAGCGGAGATCCCAAAAAGTAAACAAAAGTAAAAGTATCATATCTTGAAAACCGGTGAATATTTTTCGATTAAATTAGGTAGATATTCGTTTTCGCTCTTTCTGGACATCACTTTCATGCTAATTCATTAACTTTTTTGAAGGTGGGAGGGTCCCTTTAATTCGGGCTTTACCCCGCAAGAGATCCTTCCGGCGGGAGCTTTCGCATTGTATTTACAAAGCTTTGTCCGCGTGTCGTATTTGGGTCCAGGGGTATCAGACGCAAAATTTGGCTGGTACTGTTGGTTTGGTAAACCAGTTTAGGTCGGAAAACAGACTAGCATGCTGGGGCTGGGGTTAGCATGCATGACATGCTAGCGTGTGTCATAGCGTCGGTGTGGCCGTGGCGGGTAGACGGGCTGATTGGGTACGGTACCCAGTACCTATGACGTGTTTTGCGTTCCGGTGCGGTGTTGCCGTGATACCAGGCTGGGGCGGTGGTGGGTCTTTGTCTGTGCCGGATATGGCTGTACACTGCGGGACAAGTCCGGTGGGCAGGACGTGTCGGTTGATTGAGTGGTAATGGGTGTGATTGCTGATTAAACAATAAGAAATTTCCGTGGTCCTTAATGTCCTATATGTTATACGATACGATTACAAAAAAAAAAATGTTGCTGTTATGAGACGTGTTTTCCTTACTACATTGAACACGGCCAACGTCTCTTGCAACGATGTCATGAGATAATTTACATAAAACCATGCAGTTTCTATCGTCATTCGACTTGCATCCCGATGTGCGACTTCCCTCGTGACCTACTTTTGCCCCCCCCTCCCCACTCTCCCATCATCAGCACACCCATTGCTCCCTTCGCCCCATGTATGTCTCTGCCTCCCCTCCCCCTCCTCCCCCCTCCCCTCCGGTACCAGGCCGACCCATGAAAACCCGGTCACGTTCGCGTTTTGTCGATATAAGGCCTGTGCCAGGGTCGGACGACCGTCGTCGCTGCCCGCTGCCGCACCCAGCATAGAACGCTGCGGGCTCAAAGCTGGCCGCTGTAACTACCCAGCTCGTAGTGGTGGAGCGGCGGTCAGCCTGGCTATAAATGGGGGCTGTATTTTGTGTTGGGAATGGTGCAGGCAGTGCTGCGGCTTTTCGCATACAGACTGCAGATTGTCAGTCTGGAGCTTTGAGCTTTTTATCATGCAGAATGCAGCTTGTAGCCCTTAGCGATTCTTGGTCGCTTATTTATCGTGCGTTTGGCATTGGGATAGCCATTGGGGGGGGGGGGGGTGCAATGTGCATTGTGAAAGCAGCACTTCTCACCGTCGAAAACGCAATAAATTGTTCGGAGATTGCCGTGGGGTTTAACCGTTTCACAGAATCAGCGATCCTTCGACCTTTGGATGTTATAGCCATTAGCCAGATCCACTCACTCTTTTTTCGAACGCTCATTTGCCCAACAACGTTTCATGTTCCTTGTTCGTGTCTTCTATTCCCGTCTGCATATAACCTCCTCCCCTTCCCCCTCCTTCTATCCGCAGACTCTGAGTGGAAGTACCCCATGAGACAGATGTGGATACTCACCCCCCCCCCTCCCTCCCTTCTTTCACAGGCGGGGTTATGTGGAAGTACCTCCTGAGACAGCTATCGACATCGACACACCCTCAGACCTGGAGGTGGCCCGCCTGCTGGCCCGACGGTCGCTCATCGAGTCACCGAGGTCAACTGCAGAGGTCAATGGGTCAGAGGGGTCAGTGGAGAGGTCAACTGTAGAGATCGGGTCGATAGGATCAGAGGAGGGATCTATGGAGGTCAAGGGGTCAGTCAAGAGGTCAGCCGAAGGATCAGAGGGGTCAGCCAAGAGGTCAGCTACAGAGGTCAGCGAATTACAGTGAGTGATCATCCACAAAGGTCAACGGGTCACAGCGATCTACTGAGATCCATAATCCACCCGACGGCTCACAGAGGACAGAACTGACTCGGGTGACTTTCCAGTCGCTTAGTTATGACGTGAGGAATCTCTAGTGCCAAATGTTTTGACTCAGGCTACCAAACTGTATGAATGTCTCTGCTGTTGAGTTTACCTTATTCACGGTGTTAGTGACGTTTTGTGTCCGGTGACATTTCCAGTGTTCATTAGCCGCACCTTTTCAGCGTGTTTGTACATTATCAGCATTTTAATTTATTTTGTATCATTGACTTGAATGGGGCAGTGGTCCTTGGTGGAACGTCGCAACCAAGTCAATTATTTGAAATACGCCGGCCTGTTCGTTAAAAGTAGCTGAATCACGGTACTACTCAGAGAGCTGACGTCACAGGTTCCACAATGACGTCATACGAGGACTCCTAAGACGCCTTATGACGGCCGGTGGATTAGTGATGACGTCATCTAAGGCATTGCTCGGTAAGGCGCTCTGGAGTTTTCATCAGACTGTAGCGACTGAGTCGGCATGAAATGTCAGGAGTGGAGTGGGTGGGTCCAATCTATGTGCAAAGTGTGAACGGTATCTTGAATTTGATTGAGCCCCGTGTGGTTTCCGATAACGTTATGAGCAGCAGTAAAACTGAGATGGAGTCGTTTATCGTCTAGTCAGAAGTGGCCGAGAATTTGTATACTTATTTTGTGCGAATGTGTGCCTTCTTTTACCCTGGTATACGTTTGGTTGGTTTTGTGATCGATGGAACTCAGTACCAAAGGATTTTAAATGATGTAGAGTTTATTGTATTTACAGTGTTTATGTTCGCTATTGTGTTCAAAAACTTCGAAACTCTGCATATGATTCAATGGTTTATCTAATGATCTCCCAATGCTCGTGAATCGCTTTGGCGGTTTGGCTATGATTTTAATATCGACACTCGTGTTTCTACACTCGTGACCCCCCCACTTTCTACAGGGTGTCCGGATAGTTCTGGCGCTTTTCAACATTTTCTAAAACAAATGCCATTGGTTCATAGATACTAATCAATGGATCAAAACAATGACCAGGGACACCAAGCCACATGCTTCCGCTACGTGCTCATTCAATGTAACCATCGTCGGCGCCGACGACGGCCTCGACGTAGGGGAGGAAGCGTCTGCGGGTTTTGACGATGCGGGGCATTTCCAGGTCCTCCCATGCTGTCATGATGCGAGTCTTCAGCGACTCCAGGTTGGGGTGAGAAATGGCCTAGATCCTGTTCTACAAAACGCGTAGCACGCCTTAGTCGAGCGGGTCAGGTTAGGAGAATAAGGCGGCCTGATCTCATTTCGCCACGGTGATCTGGCCCGGCAAGCTCCTCTGTCAGTTTAGCTTGAATGGCAGCGGCGTTGTTGGAGGGTGCTCTGTGCTGTTGAAATGCGAAGTGACCCTTAGGGCATGTCGTCTTGACCCTCGGGTTGATGTGGCTGTCCAGGAACCCCTCGTGGGCCAGCCTGTTATTCATTTATTCGACATTGACGAAGATGATGGGACATTTTTGTCCATCAGACCCCCGCACTTTCTTCGATTGCCGCGCTGAAATGCTGCTCCGTTCCCATATCGCGTTCGAAACGGTCTGAGGATATTTTCTAAGGAATTCCCGAGTCGAAATAAACCTTTACCTGCTAAACCATTCATCGAAAAACGCCGCATCGCGCTGCAGCTCGAGCCTCGTTCAAGTCGCACCCGGCCGCCGCGCGCAGGCATTCAGCGACAAGGCGCATCTTCGCCCATCTACCCATCACTGAAAACGATTTCAAGGTCATATTTACACGGCCTCTGGCTGAGCAATCAACGAGGGGTCATGTCTGTGATGATTGGCTGAATGTCCAATAATCACAGCGCGCGTTACACGGCGTCCAAAAGAAGCGCCAGGACTTTCCGGACACCCTGTATCTACCATGTCCCCCGTCGTTCGTCGCTTATCATCTCCAATGACACATGACCTCCCCCCCCCCCCCTAACGTGTCTCATTTCCGGGAAGTGCGGTTTGTGCAATGTCACCCTTACCAACGCTCCATGTGTAGTGGGTAAAGCCCTGATAAGGTGTTCCGCTCGAGCGGGGAAAGCGGGGGAAATACTCTGTTGAGTGTTGAATGTTTGATAGGAGGATTGCATGATAATTCGAGTGTTGAGTTCATTGGGTTCGCTACTTTATGGCGAGTTTCTCGTGAGCTTGAATTATGATTTATGAAAATAAATTGCCTCCCTTTGGTACGTTTCTGTTTGATTTCACAGCGGTGGTGAGGTCGCCAGAGGCCAGCTGTTGAGGTCACGGGTCACCAGAGGTCACGGGTCAAGCTAGAGGAAGCCCCGGGGGTCAACGGACGATCACAAGACACGCTTGCGCAGGCGAGGATTGGGCAATGGACGAGCATGTTCAACCAAACAGCATTCAACCCTCCCTTGATCACTAACCCAGCCGACTGTAGCGTTACGGGTGCGACTGTACCCCCCCCCCCCCCGCTGTTCATCGTTCCATGACGGCACAGCGGAAAGAACCGGCGTCAGATGGGGGTCCTCAAACTCCAACCGTCAGTGGATCTTCCTCCGTCTACCACCTGCCAGTCGACCCATGAGTTGTGAGCCCCTGGATCCCCAGGCTGCGGCTGGCGTCAGTGAGTTGTGATCCCCTGGGTTCGTGGACTGGCTGCCTCCCCTCCCCCTCCCGTCCCGTCTGTCCGCCCCTCCCCACCGCCGCCGGGTGGGGGAGCGCCGGCCGGGCGGCTCGGGCGGCTCGGGACGGCGCCCACGTGGTCCGGGGCCGGCTCGGGAACCTTCCACTGCGCGATGACGGGCCGCCGGTGGCGGTGACGGGACGGACGGCGTGGTCGGACCGCGTGGTGGTGGTCGCTGGGTGCTGCGGTCTGCGCTGAGGGCAGAGGCGGGGACAGAAAGTAACAGACATATTTCAAACATGAAATGACCCTAGAAAGTTCAAGAAGATATCAATTCGTAGAAAAAAGTTATTTTAAAGAGGAAGACGAACTTGATGGATGAAACAGGCATGAAACGGACTGGTTGAAGTCAAAAATGGGAAACAGAGGTCCGAGGGCATGTTCTAGTTATTCCTCCCGCCTTTCAGTGCTGGAAATCGTGCCAAAATGCGCATTGTGTAAGCTTCGTCTTCGGTTTGTTTGTAGCGTGTCAGTAGTCTCATTTACAGGTTACAAGTGTACAACCTGCAATATAATTAAAATTACCAAAACCCTCGACGCTGCCACCAAATCCTTTACCCTCTCCAATCGATACTCCTACCTCCGCCCCTGCCGGCCGGCTCCAGTGCCTTTGACTAGCCGCGCCGGCAGTGCGGCAGGGGCGGCGTCAGCTCGATAAATCGATAGTCGGCAGCTGAGCTGCGCGCGACTGCCCCCGGAGACTGCCGCAGGGCCGGCGTCGCCCCGTCGGCCCGTCGGTTATCCACCAGCTGTGGGGCGTCACTAGATGATAGGAAGAGGGCGGGTCAGGGGGGCCCGGGGGCGACTGACGAGAAATGACCTTTTACGTAACATATACCCATTGCTTGCCGTTCGTTCAATTTTGCCGTTCCAGAACACAAATGGAGATGCTGAGAAAAAGTCAGCTGCCACAACTTTTACGGACGCTTCACTCGTGGACGGATCTCGAAATAAGGACCTATTGATTCTTTAGGATCTTTATCTTATAAGTCGAACTCTCAGGTTAGACCAAAATAGAAATGCTGCTTTCTTGGTCGTGTCTCGCTCTAAAATCGGTCAGTGAGCGTCTATACGCGTACAAAACCTATTTCTCTCCCCGCCCCGCGCCTGGCGCCGCCGCTGCCGTCAGCCAGCTCACAGCTGATACGTCATCCTGATCACGGACAGACCACTCCTCACAGCACGCCGTCAGGCTGAGTCGACATCCTCGGCCCAGGCCCAGCGCGCCGCCAACCCAAGGCCGACCCGCCATATGCGCTTCGCGCGCGCGGGAAAAACTCGCGCCCCGCCTCGTCCGGCCCAAGAGAGAGGGAGGGGAGGGAGAGGGGAGGGGCGTCAGCACTGACGTCATCTCTCGCCCCAAGAAGGCGCCGCCGCCGCCGCCGCGCCGGCCGGCCGGGTTTCGTAACCACCCTGTTCCCGGGTAGACTCTGACTGACTCATGCAGTGTCGGCTGGAGCCGAGCCGTTCGCTGAACTTTAGACGGGCGGATGTTAGCTCAAAGGCGGCGATCTTTAGAACAAGGCAGCTGCCACAGGGCAGTGAACTGTTATGCAAGATGTATGTAGTGATAGCGCGAATAGTAAACTATTAATCCGTCGAGACCTGTAACCGTTTGCAGCCTCTACCCAGTGACCCCACCCAAACCCCACCCACCGGTCTCAAGCGAAGGCCTATCTCACCTGGTTGACTCACCTGGTTGGGTTCCCAGTGTCAAGAAATGTAGATGGAAGGAAAGAGTAGGACAGACAGGAACCCTGAATCCTAGACGCGCCAGCCGGGGGAGATCTTCACTTGTGGTTGGCGAGTGCAGAAAGCTGGAATTTAGCGTCTTCCGTTGAGTCCGACGTGTATGCATGTACAAACACACTGTGGTTTTTCACAGAGAAAAAAAAAGAAAAAGAAAATGAATACAGTGCAGAGAGGCCGGCAGAATATGCAGCGCGCTAAAGTTTTGTACAGTTGTTCAAGTAACGTTAGACATAGCCAGGCGAACAAACTCCCATGCAAAGTGTCATGCAGGACCTCCTTGAACCTAGATAGGTTTGGGGCACATACCGCCTCTGCGGGTAGGGCATTCCAAAGACGCATACACCTCACAGTGAAAAAACGCTTCCTAACATCTGTGCGTGAGTGCAAGGGAAAGATCTTGTGACAGTGACCTCTGGTGCGAGTTTGGGGACACAGGCTAAACAGTTCATCAGGAGCAATGCAAGACTTCCTATTGAAGATTTTCCAACACTGAATGAGATCAGCGCGTGTCAGTCGACCCTGAACCGAATACAAGTTCAGCTCCTGCAAGCGATCAGCGTAGCTCAATGAGGCTAGCCCATCGATTCGCTTGGTCCAACGTCGCTGAACCCTCTCCAAGAGTCGCATATCCTCTATGTAGCCAGTGTACCAGACACAAGAGCAATATTCAAGCATTGGACGAATATGAGTAAGCAATAGAAACAACATGAATTCACGCGATCGGCAGACAGTCGACTTTAACAGATTCTGTGCCAAACCACTAGCCTTACGAACCACACCCCTGATGTGCTCGTGAAACTTTAATTGGCAGTCAACGGTAACGCCCAAGTCCAGATGGCTCTCAGCAGAAGGGATCTGTTGGCCGTCAAGGAAGTACTCTGGAGAGACTAGCTTTGATCTAGAGTTGGCAAATCTTAGCACGACACATTTATCTGAGTTCATTCTAAGACCCCATGATGCTGCTGTGGTGTGTAAGAGGTCGATGTCTTTCTGCACATGTTGATAATGAGACAGTGTTGATAGAGCGGGAGCATGAGACACACAGGCATACATTTTAAGATCATCGGCGAAAATCTTATAACTGCTTGTTAAAGGGACCCTCCCACCTTAACATTAGTTTTGAGTTGAGATAGCCAAGTTTGCGGCCAGGCTCAGAAACCACCATTTATCCTGGTCGCAACCCCCGCAGCTTTATGGTGTTCAAGAAATTTCTTTCCTTTACTTGCAGGGTGGGACCAGCGTGGTCCCTATCTCTTAACCATTACGGGAATCTGATGACGTCATCAGGCTTTCGAACGTCCGTTAAATGTTTGACTAAAACGTTTTGTAGCACGCGATGGAATATGCTGCTTTGCGCGCAACAAATGCCGCACTTTCAAATAAAGTCGCTAGGAACAGCGGAGATCCCAAAAAGTAAACAAAAGTAAAAGTCTAATATCTTGAAAACCGGTGAATATTTTTCGATGAAATTTGGTAGATATTCGTTTTTGCTCTTTCTGAACCGAGCGACATCACTTTCATGCCAATTCATTAACTTTTTTGAAGGTGGGAGGGTCCCTTTAAAGGGACCCTCCCACCTTCAAAAAAGTTAATGAATTGGCATGAAAGTGATGTCGCTCGGTTCAGAAAGAGCAAAAACGAATATCTACCAAATTTCATCGAAAAATATTCACCGGTTTTCAAGATATTAGACTTTTACTTTTGTTTACTTTTTGGGATCTCCGCTGTTCCTAGCGACTTTATTTGAAAGTGCGGCATTTGTTGCGCGCAAAGCAGCATATACCACCGCGTGCTACAAAACGTTTTAGTCAAACATTTAACGGACGTTCGAAAGCCTGATGACGTCATCAGATTCCCATAATGGTTAAGAGATAGGGACCAAGCTGGTCCCACCCTGCAAGTAAAGGGAAGAAATTTCTTGAACACCATAAAGCTGCGGGGGTTGCGACCAGAGGGGTGTTCACGGGCACCGCACACTGCTGCGTGCGGTGTGTGCGGTACGTCCAGCAGGCGTGGGGGTAGGGGATGGGTAGGCGGCTCTGACGTCACGGCTGCGTGCGGTGGACGGTCCGCTGTGGCCAGTCCCGACCGGCCACAGCGGTCGCTGTGTGCGGTGACGCAAGGCTGACGTAGGGACGCAGTGGGCGGAGCTTGGAGGCTGTGTGCGGTCCGACCGCACACAGGGTCCGTGAACAGCCCTCAGGATAAATGGTGGTTTCTGAGCCTGGCCGCAAACTTGGCTATCTCAACTCAAAACTAATGTTAAGGTGGGAGGGTCCCTTTAACTGTGAGGCTATGCTGTTCACATATACTAGGAACAGAAGTGGTCCAAGGACACTACCCTGTGGGACACCACTAAGGACATTCCTTGGCCGGCTCCTACAGTCCTTAACACAAACCTGCATCTCCCTGCCATATAGGAATGAGGAAAGCCAATCAAGCAAACGGCCATGGATACCCAGAGACCTCAGCTTAGCAATCATCAAATCGTGACAGACCACATCAAACGCCTTGCTGAAATCGAAGAATATTACATCTGTGACTCCACCCATGTCAGCTGCTCTCGAAACGGCGTTATACACAAGTAACAGCTGATCCATAGTTGACCTGCCTGCCCTGAAACCAAACTGATTTGGTGTCAGTAAGTCATTTGATTCCAAGTAGTCACGAAGTTTGGCACAAATAATTCGTTCCATGCTCTTGCACACCACAGAAGTTAAACTGATGGGCCTGTAATTAAGTGGATCATATCGTCGGCCTTTTTTGAATATCGGTATAACATGGGACAGCTTCCATAGGACAGGCAGTTGGCCTTCCTGGAGAGATCTGGAAAAAATCATGAGTAAGGGACGAGCCAGTTCTGCAGCACAACGCCTAAGTACCAAGGGATTCAGTCTGTCAGGGCCCATGGCTGAGTGTGGGTCAAGGGCCATCAGCGCAGAGCAAATGTCTTCGGTCGTCAGGTCAACATTTTGAAGTGACCCGTCAAACTCCTGGTGAGGGGCAGGGTTGGTTGGTGAGTTAGTCGAATACACCGATGCAAAAGAGGTGGCAAACACTTCAGTCATAGCCTCGGCGTCATCACTCACTTCCCCAGATTGGAGAAGCAGGGGGCCAACAGATGGGCATCCCACCTTCTTGGATCTGATGTAGGAGTGCAGGAGTTTAGGATTTTCAGCGGACCTCTCCATTAGGCTAGCTTCATACAGACTCTGGGATCTCACAGCAAACCCTTTTAACTCCTTATTGACAGAAGCAAACTCTTGATAGGCCATGCGAGACTCATGAGCTTTTCTCCCTTTACGTTCCCTTACTAATTTGTAGGTCTGCCATGCCCTGCGCCGACGGTGCATTAGACTAGTAGGGGGTCTCTTTTGCCAGGATGGTTTACCTCTGTTTGATGTCTGTTCAGGTACAAACTCGTCTGTCAAATCACAGATAAGCTTAGTAAAGTGGTTGAAGGAATCATTGCAATCACGATGTGCTAATTCAAAATCCCAGTCAATAGTCCTTAGTCTCTGGCACATCAGTTCATAACGACCTCTGCTCCAGGCTCTCCTGCTCATCTGTGGGGGACCTGAGGGCACATTTGTACTTTGCATCTCAAATATATAATCAAAAAGAGTTGGGCAATGATCGCAACCTGGGAGTGGGGGACAAACCTCCAACAGTCCAAGGCGGTCTGTCTCAGAAGTCAGTACCAAATCAAGGATGTTTCCTGATCTGGGGTAGGTTGGTTGGGTGACCCATTGAGTAAGACCGGCAAGGCTGAATAGATTGCAGAAATCTCTCTCGAGCATTGAACAGTTCTGAAACCCATTTGGAGCATCCCAGTCAATGTTTGGCAGATTGAAGTCTCCCAAAACAATCACCTCTCTGTCAGTGCAGAAGTCTGAAAGGAAAGACATCAGCATGGTATTCTCAGCTTCCAAGTTTGAAGGCGGTCTGTAAACAACTACTACATAAGTGTTGTAGATAGTCAAGCAGAAAGTTAGCACATTTGGGACAGGAGTTGTGACACCATTTGTAACAACATTTTCTCTCACATATACACAAACACCATGCTTGTAGACAGTACCAGCAACATCATTCTGAATAAGTGAATATCCAGGCATCTGTACAAATGAATCCTTTGTGTGGTTAAGAAGATGTGACTCAGTTATACATACAATATCAAGGTCATGGAGTTTAGCAAAGTTGTTAAGCTGATTCATCTTGGATGGCAAACCATTAACATTGACTTGAGCAATCCGGATCACTGAGGCAGTCTGCAGGCTGGGAGCTAGTTTCCCGAACCCGCTTGGGTAGACGCGTTAGCTGGGGCAGGGGCAGGGGCACCAGCGGCAGCTTGTGGGAGAGCAGCCTGTTGACGTGGAGCATCATTAAGAACATCCACAGGTCTCTGGTCCCCAGCTCTCAACCCAGGCTCCTGCTGCCGGCGGGCCTGGCGACGATGGTAGAGCTCGGTTCTCTGTGAATAAGTCAGGTCCCTGTTGACAAAAACTTTGTCATATCGAGAGCCTTTTAGTTGCTTTGCCTTCTCCAGGATCTCTTTCCGTTGGTCATCATCTGGTACCCTGATGCGATAGAAGTTTGAGTGACCAGTTATAGCAAAGGCTTCAGATGGCTCAACCCTCATTCCCATGCAGTCATCAGTGAGCTGAGCAAACTTCCTGATAAATTCTGAGGCTGAGTTAGCAGGAAGACCCCTGACAATGAGAAAGGATCGTCGCTTTTCACGCTCTTTCTGCTCCTTGAGCTCCTCACGTATCATGGTGCGATAGTCCTGTTGCTGCTGTGGTTGATGAGGCTGTGGTTGTGGTGCTGCAGCTTGGGTTTGGGTGTGTACAGCAGCATCACAGGGGCATGTTTTCTCAGTCTTAGCAGACAGGGTCTTAACCTGAGATGCGAGATCTCGAATGGCAGAACAGATCCCTTTGACTTGATTGAATAAGTGACTGACTGTCTCGGCTAGATGTGGTTCAGTATGGCTAGAGGGAGATTTACCACGATTCTCAACATGTTGTACCTGGCACTTCAAGCACATGAATTGGATTCCTTTACCCTCATATTTCATTATAGCCTCAATGAGCTCCTGAGGTAGACCTGAGCACATTTCATTCCCATGGACCCATTGTTCACATTTGTCGCACCCTATGGGGTCATTTCCCACATCATCCCCACATGTACCGCATAAACACTCTTCTCCCCTAAGTACACCAGCACCAGTGACACTTGCGCTTCTCCCACGCCTGCCAGCACCCCTGGCATTCCGAGACCCTCTGCGCATTGTCCTTGTCAAAGCCAGCCAGGCAGCAGCCCTCTTGCAATCGAGCTTGGCGCGTCACAGGCTAGCAGGGTGTGGAAAGCTTGGCTGAGGCAGGGGAAGGCAAGGCAGGGCCCAGTTGCAGAGCACTAGCATGTGCAGCAGACAAGCAAGGAGTCCAAGGAAGACACAAATGGTACTAGCAACCAGGCATGCAGAGGCAGATGAGCAGACGCGGACGACAAGTAGACGTAGTGTTGACGTTGTCCGTTCATGCAGTCACATGCATGTCACATGCAAATTTCTTGAACTCAGACTCTCGGGGCTCGGTTATAAGCAAATTAGCGACTCCAATGCTCAATGCTCTATGCTCTTGTCTTGATAGCCTGAACTCCCCTCCCTGTCTCCCTCTGTTGTCTTGTAACTCAACTCAATCTTGAACTCTGCTGGGTATCCTGTAAATCGATTGCCTCGTGCTATAAAATCGATATGTTATCAAAAACAATAAATCCTTCCAAATCGTTCACACCTGCTGCGACGGCTGCGACCTCACTGGACCTCACAAGTCCTGCCGGAGTTCACACAGATACAGTTCAATACAAATACAATACAAATAGATATATCCGTCTCGCAATGCTTCCATCTATATGTATTTCCGTCCCAGCCCATTGTCGGTCCCACTTCCTTTAATTTCGTTTCTGCTGTGACCCTGACCTAGCCCGCTTTCCCTGTGTTCTTGACCCTCCCCCTCCCAGAAATCCCAGCAAACATACGAAATCGGGACATAACCAGGAACTTTTTATTCACGCATCAAAACATGTGCAGGGTACGGAGACAAGAAAATAAAACAGGGTGAGCGACCCTCAGGTCGCCACCTTTTTGGTTGACCATTGGACCCGTCTGGGGCGAGGGACGGCGTTTAGTCGACCTCCTCAATGGTGGGGCCGCCGGCGCCGCCTCCGGGTGCGGCACCTCCGGCTCCGGGAGCGCCTCCGGGCATACCTCCGGGCATACCGCCGGGCGGCGCGCCGCCGGCTCCCTGGTACAGCTTGGTGATGATGGGGTTGCAGATCTGTTCCAGTTCCTTCTGCTTGTGCTCGAACTCGTCCTTCTCAGCGAGCTGGTTGGCGTCCAGCCACTTGATGGTGTCGTTGCACTTGTCCAAGATGGTCGTCTTGTCGGACTCGGAGATCTTGTCCTTGATCTTCTCATCCTCGACGGTCGACTTCATGTTGAAGGCGTACGACTCGAGGGCGTTCTTGGCGGAGATCTTCTCACGCTGGGCCTCGTCCTCCTGCTTGAACTTGTCGGCCTCGTTGACCATCCGCTCGATCTCCTCCTTGGTGAGCCGACCCTTGTCGTTGGTGATGGTGATCTTGTTCTCCTTGCCGGTCGACTTGTCGGCCGCGCTGACGTTCATGATGCCGTTGGCGTCGATGTCGAAGGTGACCTCGATCTGGGGCACGCCGCGCGGCGCCGGCGGGATGCCGGTCAGCTCGAACTTGCCCAGCAGGTTGTTGTCCTTGGTCATGGCACGCTCGCCCTCGTAGACCTGGATCAGCACACCCGGCTGGTTGTCGGAGTACGTGGTGAAGGTCTGCGTCTGCTTGGTCGGGATGGTGGTGTTCCTCTTGATGAGGGCGGTCATCACACCTCCGGCCGTCTCGATACCGAGCGAGAGGGGCGTCACGTCCAGGAGCAGCAGGTCCTGCACCTCCTCAGACTTGTCGCCGTGGAGGATGGCAGCCTGGACGGCAGCGCCGTACGCCACGGCCTCGTCAGGGTTGATGGACTTGTTGAGCTCCTTGCCGTTGAAGAAGTCCTGCAGGAGTTTCTGGATCTTGGGGATACGGGTGGAGCCTCCGACCAGGACGATGTCGTGGACGGCGCCCTTGTCCATCTTGGCGTCGCGCAGAGACTTCTCGACCGGCTCGAGGGTGCCGCGGAACAGGTCGGCGTTCATCTCCTCGAACCGGGCGCGGGTGATGGACGTGTAGAAGTCGATGCCCTCCATGAGGCTGTCGATCTCGATGGAGGCCTGGGAGGAGGAGGAGAGGGTACGCTTGGCACGCTCGCAGGCGGTGCGCAGACGACGCAGCGCGCGCTTGTTGGTCGAGAGATCCTTCTTGTGCTTGCGCTTGAACTCCTGGACGAAGAAGTTGACCATGCGGTTGTCGAAGTCCTCTCCGCCGAGATGAGTGTCTCCGGCGGTCGACTTCACCTCGAAGATGCCGTCCTCGATGGTGAGGATCGACACATCGAAGGTGCCGCCGCCCAGGTCGAAGATGAGCACGTTGCGCTCGCCGCCGACCTTCTTGTCGAGGCCGTAGGCGATGGCCGCCGCGGTGGGCTCGTTGATGATGCGCAGCACGTTCAGACCGGCGATCGCGCCGGCGTCCTTGGTCGCCTGACGCTGAGAGTCGTTGAAGTAGGCCGGCACGGTGATGACAGCATCGGTGACGGTCTTGCCCAGGTAGGCCTCGGCCGTCTCCTTCATCTTGGTCAGCACCATCGAGCTGATCTCCTCGGGCGCGAACGTCTTCTTCTCGCACTTGTACTCGACGCGGATCTTGGGCTTGCCGCCATCGCTGACGACCTCGAACGGCCAGTGCTTCATGTCGGCCTGCACCGGGGCGTCCTCGAAACGACGGCCGATGAGTCGCTTGGCGTCGAACACGGTGTTGCCCGGGTTCATGGCCACCTGGTTCTTGGCGGCGTCTCCGATCAGACGCTCCGTGTCGGTGAAGGCGACGTACGAGGGCGTGGTCCGGTTGCCCTGGTCGTTCGCGATGATTTCCACCTTGCCATGCTGGAAGACGCCCACGCACGAGTACGTGGTGCCCAGATCAATTCCGATCGCCGGGGCCTTTGCCATTCTGCAAACGGAGATAAGAGGTTAGTAACGCGCACAGAAACGAAACAAGTGCATAAGTGCAATAAATTACGCGTTACTAGGGTAAATAAGACGTTTACGTATTATATTTGAGCCACTCAAGTCAGGACTGAAAATTGAAGTCTTTGACCTGCTACAGTAGGTACCTAATTACTCACAATAACAGTTTTCACGACGGACTATTTGGCGAATGTACTTATTTGACCAAGCTTGCACCAAATCTCATTACAACAAGCATCTTAAAATCATGGATTTACTCTAAATTTATCAAAAATAATCATAATATGAAAAAAGGGGTCCATTAACACCTGCGCAGCCCAAACTAGCAAGAAACACAACGAACGTAATTTGACACAACCTGCACCTAATCTGCACCAAATGTGTACCAGTTGGCCGCTGTGAAATCGACTAATATGAATAAGTAGTAAGTAGGTACCTACTACACACGGTGAAAAAGTGTAAAAAAAAACGAGGAGCTCCGGAGCAAAAATTCACCAAACATGATTGTTAGAAAAATAGAAATATGAGCGCTTACGCATGTCGTATACTCCAGATAAGTGCGAGAAAATGCCAAAAGAAAGCATACATTCGGTCCGGACAGCACAGTTCAAGTTCGCGCGGTTTCTCGACAGCGAGGCATCAGAATCAAAAGCAAACGCCAAACGACATAATTGTACCGGGAACGCAAATTCATCGAACACACGACAATAGACCGCTTGCACATTTCAGCTGTTCCTTACCTGAATTATTTCGGTACGCAGTCTGGTGCAACAGATCTGTACCGCGCGCACGACCTCCTCCTCTGGAATCTCGCCGGCAAAGAACATCCGGCGAATTTGTAGCATAGAAGCCACTCGCCGACCGCGTCCGGTGCGCTGTCCCCGGCCAGCCAATGAAGTTCGCCGACACAGCCGACGATTCCTGCGTCCGCCTCTGATTGGTGGAGGCGCGGGCCGAGTGCGTCACGAGTCAGCCGGCGCCCGGCGTTGCGTGGCGGGTTTGCGCCTGCGCTAAACCTCCTACTTACGGATCTGGAATGTTCGGTAAAGTGGAGTAGCATAGGAAGTGGAAATATGAAAGGTCGGATCAAGGCCCTATATACCAGGTAGGGTCGTCCGGCGATTCTACCTGATCGTGACGTCAGCTCGTGACGTCATCTGGGGGCAAGTCTTAAAGTCCCGTTTAAGTCCTATGCAAATGGGCGATTTTTAAAGCTCTGTAGAGCAAACTCTGCTAAAGCTAGCACAAAACTAAGTGCATCATCGGAAAGCCGAGACATTTTTCTTCGAATTATCTAGGAAGCGTTTTTCACTAAACCCATTAGTTTTTCCGAAAATGCGTAAAAAAGCCCCCATGCCTCGGCAGCCTCCCTTCCGCCGGCCGCCGCGCCGCCGCGGTAGTGTAGTGGTTAGGATGCTTGCGCCGTAATCCAAAGATCGTGCGTTCGAATCTAGGCGCGGGTCGTACTTAAATCGAAATTGCAAGCAGATTATGTGTTTTTTTCTTGATAAATCACTTATATTACAGCTAACCGTTCATAAAACTATCGATAACAATTGACTGAAACCCAAAATGTAGATTACATTCTAATAAAACAAATTCAAATATGGCGGCCGTTGCGCCAGGCTCCACCCCCGACTCCGCCCCTTCGTGTGACGTCATCTGTGCACCTGGACACACAGGGAGATAGGGGACGACATGGGCCTGGGTCGGATGATAATTGAGATAAATGCGAATTACGTAAGAATGAAACGATTAGAAATGATCCCAGCAGGACTTTCTTTAAGCAACAAATAAATGGTCCTATCCCGTGGCCGTTTATGCAGGAGCAGGTTATGCGGTAATTTGTCCACGGGATAATAAAAAACCCTGAAGCAATTTTCCATCACTGGACGCAGCCACCTGAATTCCCGCTTCCCAGATGCTCCATCCTGCCCTTTTCCCGTCTTTTGTGCTTTCCAGTAGTCCCCACAAGACGTGCCGTTTAAATTTTAAATGCTCCGTGGGCCCCTGATTGGCAGACGTGCCCCACCAGCTGCCCCCTCCCCCCCCCACCACCACCACCACTAGGTGCCCACTGTCCCACAGCGAGCTCCCCCGATTGTTCCCGAGCCCCAGCGACACGGGGATTATCCACGGGAAACGCGAGGGAAAACGTGCCGAGCACGTGGTCGGAGGGAGTTGGAGGGGGGGGGGGGGTATGGCGCAACATATATTAACCACGTGGGTCGTCTAATATTTATAGCATGTAAATGTTCCATGTGGTAGTAAGTGTATCCCACTGAGCCGCCCTTCATGGTATCCAGTGCTTCTTCTTTTCAGTTTTCACCAGAGAATTTTCAGTAGTCCAATGTCTGTCCTTTCAGGTAGACACTAGACACTTTTATTCAGGTGCACTTATTCGTAAAAATCCGCACATATTTGAAAATCCGTTCCGTGTCAATTCGATGCAAGTTCGACACGTTTTCTTGAAAAATTTAACCGCCCTGTCCATATTTCATCCTGCACTCGCGTCTCGCCGCCTCTCAACATCAACTCACGCACCATCGTCCATCAGTAGCACGAGGGCGTGTGCTCGTGTCTACCGGCTCTTCCTGTGATACTACGCCCAATCAGCTGACAGGCGGCACTCCACCCAGCCCCCTCCCGTCTCCCCCCCCCCCCCCCCCGACACCTTTGCTCCACGACATGGCACCGTGTATCAGGACACCGGGCTGTCGAGCTTAGTAGAGGAACGGGGAGGGGAGGCAAGGTGCACTGTACCTCTTGAATTTGCAATGCCGTAGGTATGTATAAGCGAATGTGATCCTTTTATGGGAGTGCTCATTCATCTTTCTCCAAATCATTTACGCCGGACGCGGTACGCTCATGCTCTCATGCAAGGCTATCTTTTAGTCTCATGGTTGCTGTTTCTTGTTTTAACCCGGCGGCCGCTGGGCCTCCGCGCCACCCGCCGGCCGCTGGGAGGGGGGCATATATGTTGCCCCCCTTTACTTCTGCGACGATATCGTCGCAACGCGAAGAGATAGAGAAGCGAAACTTTGCACACATCTTCCTGAATACCTAGCCGAGGTTGTGTCCAAATTTGGTGTCGATCCCATTTGATTTGACGTCACAGTGACGTCATAAGTGAAATTATAGATTTGCGACTCTCATATTCCTCACGATACATCAGATATATGGGACCGAATATAAAGGGCCGATTATTGGTCAGAAACTAGATGGAAGTGTAGTTAGATGTTTTAGGATGACAGCAGGTGCTGTCTAGTTCATTTACAGTCGAGTTTCATGCTCAGCGTCATCAGAAACGGTCCATATCGGAAAACGACAAAACTTTATGACGTCACTGTGACGTCATCTTAGGTGCTACAACCACCAAACTTTCCTCAAACATTGCCTAGGTATTCATTTGAAGCTATGCCAAGTTTCACGTTCGTAGCTCATCAGGTTTCGGAGATATTTCACAAAACGTAAAGGGGGGCAACTTTATGCCCCCCCCCCCAGCGGCTCGTGGGTTAACGTAATTGGGCACGGAAGGCATCTCGGGAGAGCTGTCGGACAAATTTGGAAACAAGGACACGAGTCGGAGTCACGAGTGATCACTTGTTGCCTTCTACGGATATAGGGGCGTCATGGACTAATGGGTGTTTATAATACCTTTTTATCCTTTTAAACTTGGAATTGTTGATATTAATTGAGGCTTTAGGGCACACCGACTACTAAGATCATTTTGCGCCCATTTAAACTTGGAATCAAATTACGTATATTCATTATTGATTAAAAAGGTCAATCGTTCGTCTCAATTCGTAATCACATGCGATTATGAATAAGTTAGGTATGCTATAAAAATAACTTATCTATTACAATCAGAATATCTAGCTAAATCTACCTCTCCCCTCCCCGACGTCTTCACTCCCCCTCCCCCCGCCCGGCCGTCCAGCGTTTCTAAGAAATGCCTGGGGCGTGTTTGAGACGGCTGAACGGTGACCTTAGGCTCTGGGTAGCAACTACTTAGCAGATATACTCGCCATACCATCTGACTGAGGTGGGGGACGGGTGGTGGGTCACGTGGTCCAAGGATGGAGAGAGAGAGAGAGAGAGAGAGAGAGCGAGAGAGAGAGAGAGAGAGAGAGAGAGAGAGAGAGAGAGAGAGGAGGGATATTAAATTTAAAAATTAAATCTCCCGATCCCACTGAAATCTTATATTGACCTAAATGAAAATAAACGCTGCATTTAACGGTGGTATAAAGTCTAGGAACCTAGGGCGAAAGAGCAGAATGCATGTAAAATGCATTTTATAAACTCATCGTTCTTTTTTCAATATTAGAATAATAACATAAACTATTGTTTAGTAGGTGCGCATTTATAGTAGCCGTCAATCGTCATGTTATGCACGCTTCAAATCGATTTCCGTCGGGCCACTCACGACCCTGCGCATTGACCCCCACCCCCACCCCTCCCCCCCCACCCCTCCCCCCGCCCGACCAGTAACCAGCGCGGCCTTCGCGGTAACCCGGGTAACCAATCACGTGACCCCAGGTAACCACCGATGCACTGACATAACGTCGTCGGTCGCGTCGACGGTTTCGACGCGGCCAGCGGTGGATCGAACGATGGACGGTTTTCGCTGCGACGGCGGGTCTCGGGTTATTAGGGAGAAACGACGAAGCGTGAGCAAGGATGCGGGCAAGCAGTGATGATGATTAGGCAGTGATGTAGTGCCAGTGATTGCAGTGAAACCAATAAACTCAGGATGAAGAAAATGAGAGCAAATGTGAAGCAGTGACAGCAAAATCAAGACGAGACGTTTTCCGGCAGTGAAGTAATTCGAATAAGCTTAACCAGCTGAAAACATGGTTCTGTGAGTATTGTTGACCTTAGGGTCACAGCCAAGTAAACATGATGCCATGAAGTAGAGAACAAATAGAGATATCACATTCCGTTGTCTTGTATCCAGTCGAATATCCCTGTTCCACCCAGCTCTAGCTCTGCCTGCCACTATTTCTCGGTCCGAGGCGGGCTAGTGCCTGTGCTTTCGGACCATAAAAGCTGAACAGAGCCGGGTCTAGGAGACCGGTTTTGTGGGCCACCATTACTCAAAGACACAGCAGGCAGACGCCGAGCGAAAGATAAAACCAGGTTTGGAAACAGGTCAGAAAATAGGCATTTTGTGCCGTACAATTAAAATTTATTTAAAATAATTACTGTAACCTACAAACTGTCGAAGCAAGACTCTTTTTAACTTCTACTAAAAAGTCCCCGAAGTCCAATGCATATCGCTGTCTTTCTGCAGGATCAAGAAGGGCGGCAACACCCTGTCTCCCGCCGGGGGCGGGGGCGGTCAATACCCGCCCCTGTCTCCGTCTCGGGGTTTCGGTGGAGCGTCTCCGTCTCCGGGGTATGGAGCGTCTCCGTTTTCGTCTCCTCTGCCGCCGAGGGCGTCTCCGGTACCGCCGAGAGCGTCTCCTGTTCCGCCGCAAATGGCTCCTCAGGTGGACCAGGGGCAGGGTGAGTAAGGGAGGGGGAAGGGAGGAGGGGAGGGGCAGGGAGAGAGAGAGAGAAAGAGAGAGAGAGAAAGAGAGAGAAAGAGAGAAAGAGAGAAAGAGAGAAAGAAAGAGAGAGAGAGAGAGAAAGAGAGAGAGAGAGAGTGAGAGAGGTAGAGAGAGAGGGAGAAAGAGAGAGAGAGAGAGAGAGAGAGAGAGAGAGAGAGAGAGAGAGAGAGAGAGAGAGAGAGAGAGAGAGACCGGAACGGAAGAGGACAGGGAGAAAAGGAGGAGATGGATGCTTTTTTAATCCTCCAGATAGAATACTTGCTCAACTTTATTGCCCTAGAGGTTTTGCCCCCTTACATGCAATTCAATAAAAGTTCAACATCCCTAACGCAATAAAAGTGACCGACTTATACCACGAATGTCCGCCACGTAGCGCTGAACCGACTAAAATTCAGCCGATATCGGATACAAGCTTAGACAATAGCGGACCGAAATGCGGGCGATAGGCAGATAGACAGACAGGCTGTGGACTGTGTGGGCGAAGTTCACAGTCTGCTCCACGCAGTCCCACTCGGTCACGTGCTAGAGAGACTAGAGCTTGTCTGATTTAA